AAGGACGCCGCCCCACCATCCTATCGATGGAAGTACCCTCTCTCTCTCTCTCTCTCTCTCTCTCTCTCTCTCTCTCTCTCTGTGGCACGTCGCTTCGGCCGACTGGCGACCAAGCAGGCCTTCCATCACTTCTCGCTTCCGCCAGCACTTCGACCGCCCTCACTTCGATGGCCTCGCCCCCGTCCCCTGCCACCCCCGTCGTTCCCGCGCCGCTCTGCTTCGCCGCCCACCTGCGCCCATCGCGATTCACTTCCCTGTACTGGACCCGACCCTCCCGCACCGCTCTGCTTCGTCACCCGCCTGCCGCCACCCCCCTTCACTTCCCGCTGCTGGACCCGACCCTCCCTCGGCCCTCGAGTGTCCCGGTCAGCCCACACGGTACCACCCCGGTTTCTGCTGGCCCCACCCTGGGCCCTTTGCATGCATTAATAGTATAGAGATATTTAGACTGAAAGATACCCCCAATACAGGTATAATGACCGTACGTTGTCTTCGGATGAAGAAGGTAGGCATCCATTTTGGTGTCAGTACTGAGCAACCAGCAACAATCATTGCAGTTCCCTTGCCGAAAAGTCTGCACTTTGGTGACGATTTTCTGCCTCCATCGGATTTATGTAAAACGTTTATATTTGACTGAGAATTTTCTGCAGACTCTGTTTTTCTGCAGTTCCCAATCTGAAAAGTCTCAATTTGGTGCAAATTTTCTCCCTCTGTGGGACTGTTTTTTGCAGTTTCCAATCTGAAAAGTCTCTTTCCCTTTCTGAAAATTCTGACAATTTTCTGCCTCCATCGGATTTGTCTAGAGCGTCTATATTTGTTTGAGAATCTTCTGCAGTTTTTTCAAGTTTCCTATCTGAAAAGTCTCGATTTGGTGCAAATTTTCTGCCTCTGTGGGATTTGTCCAGGAAATCCGCATTCGTCTGAGGGCATACTCACACTACCTTCTTCCCCCGAATACAACGTACGGTCATTACATCTGTATTTAGACTGAAAGATACCCCAAAATACAGTTATATAATGGCCATATGTTGTATTCGGGGGAAGAAGGTAGGACTTTCTCAACTAAACTCTGGACGTGATTGCAGTAAGTTCGTCCAGGCGTTGCCATGCTTGCAGTCCGGTACTCCAGAGCTGGTTCTTTCCCCCCTCTACCCTCCCTTCGCATTGCAAATCCTTTTCCCCTCGTATCACTAATGCACTCCTGCGGCAAACACTTCTCCCGTTTCCCAACCCTGTCACCAGTACTTCAACATTTTCCCCCCTTCTCCTCTTGTGAGGATTTCCTCCACCATTGCTCCTATCGAAACCCATTCCCTGTTCTCCCCCTCCACTCTCCTGTCACCACACTCTTACCCCTGCACACATCCTCCCTTACTTAAAACTCTTTACCCCACTTCTTGCAGATCTTTCCCTGACTTAACCCCCCCCCCCCCTTACTACCGCTGTTCCCCATTTCCCCATTTTTCCCACTGCATCCTCATCCTCAACTCCTTTTCTTTGCTAAATGGATCATCCTTCATGTTTGATTGTGACTGTTACCTCAGTCCTTCACGCCACCCTTCCCCTCCATCTCTCATAGAAACTCTCTACTCCACATCAGCTCCCCTTGCACCTCTTTCTCCCTCTGCCTTCACAGCCTGCTGGTAGTACATTTACAGGCAATGCTAACGGCCACAAACACAATTCTGATGAACAGTCCACAATTGCAGTGCACAGAACCGGCAAACAGGGAAAAAAAAAAAAAACTCTATTTCAGGGAAAGATTAGGCGGAGACCGGCGGAGGGAGGAGGTCAAGCGGAAGTCGAGAGGAGGAAGAGGAGGGAAGAGGAAAGAAGAGGTCAAACAGTCACACAAATCGGGCAAATGTCGGGTGAAGCAAGAGCAGGAGGGAGGGCAGAGGGAAGGAGGG